AGGGAGTCTCATGTGAAGCTGTGTTCTTAGCCACACGCCCTTCCCTGGCTGGGTCTCTGAAGGCCGGTGGGGTTGGGGCTGGGATTGTGTCTGTTTTTTGGGTAAGACCTGGGTGATGCGGGCTTCACGTGCACCACACCTCTAACTTGGTGGCCCTGTGTCCTTGTAGGTGGTAATGTGGACCTGGAAAGCCAAGCTGAGGGGAAGAAGGAGGTGGAAGCTGATGATGTGATGAGGAGTGGCCCGCGACCCATCGTCCCATACAGCTCCATGTTTTGTTTAAGCCCCACCAACCTGTGAGTCTCCTTCGCCTGCCCATGCCATGTGCCTGTCCCATGTCTGTGGCCGTGGTCCATGTGCACGGTAGCAGCGTATGCTAGACGTGACCTGGCAGGCACTGATTCTGTGCACTTTACATGTCCTGATCATCACAGCAATCTGCAAGCACTCCCTACAGATGAGGACACAGAGCCACGGGGAAGGTCCATGCCCTGTCCACAGACACACAGCCAGTCAGCCCTAGTGGTGGAGTTGGGGTTTGAACCCAGACAGTCAGCCCCAGAGCCACTATCCCCCACTGCAGTGACTTCATCGCAGCGCACACGCACCCAGTTTATGTCCCTCATGTGTCCACCTTCCATCACGCCCACTGTCCACGCATGCATACATCTGTGCACCGTGTTCACTCACATGTCTGCCCATTTTTCTCCCCTCTGTTTATCATGAAGTCACCAGCATTTCTCATCCACTCATCAGTCCATCTACTGCATTGGGTCACCCAGTACTTACATACTAACAGCATTTTAGGTGCTGGGAATACAGAGTAAGGAGCAGAACAAACAAGGACCCCTGTCCTTGATAAGCTTCCGTGCAAGTAGGAGAGACAGACAGCAAACCAGACAAGTAAGGGGCCTAAGACATCACATGGTGGGAAGTACTAAGAGGAAGCACAAAGCTGCCGGGGGTGTGAATGTTAGGGTGGGAAGGTCAGGCTGGGTGTCAGTGGGAGATGAGATTGGTGAGGAAGGGGAGGCAGACCATCCCTGGCAGTGGCAACAGATAGAGCAAAGTGTGTGGATCAAGGCCAGTGTGGTAGAGCAGGAGGGCCAGAGGGCAGCAAGATCCGATGGAGTCAGGCTGTGCCCTGCGTCCCCACCTGCATCCCCATCCCTCCAAGCCTGCAGTCTCTTTAGCCAGCCTCCACTCCCTCCCTCTCTTTTCGCTTTCACTCAGCACACATTTCCTGGGAGCTTACTCTGCTCCGCTAGGGAGTGTGGCCCCTGCCTGTGAGCACTGATGTGTGAAGGAGGGAGCAGAGAGGTTGTAGGCAGCTGGGGGTCAGTGGGGACACCGTCAGGCTGTACTTCAGCAGATTCCTTGCACAGAGCTTAGTAGGTGGTCAAGGTTTTCAGGAAGAGATGGTCGAGATCTGATGATGGTGGTCATGTGGGGAGGTTTGGGAGTGAAATGCTTGGGAAGACATTTTGGAGAGAATCTAGGGATCTGGATAAATTAGATGTGGAAGGGGAAGGAGATGTCAGGGATGACACCCAGAGTATCTGCATGACGGCTGGGGCCCCAACGAGCTGGGGGCAGGCGAGTGCAGATCCTGCAGAGCAGGGGCAGCTAGTGGATGTCTCATGGCCAGGTGGACTCCCCTGACTAGGGGTAGAGCTGAGGGTGGATGGTCAGTCCTGAGATGCAGAAGGCAAGACGCAGAGACGGAGTGTCCTGGAGGAAGGAGGAGAGGTCTGTCTGTACAGAGGAAGGCGTGCCAGGAGCTCTGGGGGGAAGGGGCCTGGGAAGGGTGGCTGGGAAGGGTAGCTCTGGTCTGCGTGGAGGCTGGAGTATGGCAGTGGTCATGGCGAAGGGGAGAGCACAGTAGTCCCTTCAAGGCAGAGAGAGAGGCGGGTGGGTGTGGCTGGGAGGTGGAAGGTCCCTTCAGACCTAAGACCCTAAGAGTAGGGAAGTGGTGGTGAGAGAGAGGGGCAGGTCGCAGAGGTGAGACACGGGTCTGTCCCCGCCCCGCCTGTGTGCTGGTTCTGTGGCTGCCCCTCTTTGTCACCTGGGACCAGCTTCACCGCCCCCCCGAGGGTTCTTCCCAGGCCTCCTGGTCCCTGCTGCTGTGCTGTAGCATTTGTGAGCATCTGAGGGCCTCCTGTTGGTGTATGTCCACACTGTTTTCTGGCGCCCTGTCCACCACTGGGCCCCGGTGTCCGGCATGTGCCCGAACAGAACAGAATAGTGGTCAGTAATGCTGCCTGGTGCTGCAGGGAGGCAGGTGACACACGCAGCTCTGGGGACTCAGACAAGCCGGTCCAGCACAGACCCAGAGAAGTTTCCTGAGCTCTCCAGAGAGGCCTGCTGTCCACAGGAGTGCTGGTGTTCAGCCTTGTCCTCTCTGAGCAGCCCTCCCGGAACCCCCTCCCCCCCACCTACAGCCTTTGTAAATCTGCAGAAGGCACCGCTGTCCACACACACAGGAGGTGAATGCGTGGGCTGACCCCTGCTGTGGGTTTCTGCAGCCTTCCCACCCCTCTTCCTGGGACACCCGCTCAAGAATCTGAGGCACCATTGGTCACCTGGCCGCTGTCTCCCAACCACAGGGACACTCAGTAGAACTTGGTTCTGGTGTGACGCCTTCCGCAGGGAGAGGCCAGGCATGCGCTCCGGTGAGGGGGACCAGCCCAGCTCATCGGTGGGCCTCGGGCGATCTGTGCTTTGCCCTGCAGCCTCCGCCGCCTCTGCCATTACATCGTGACCATGTGGTACTTTGAGATGGTCATTCTCGTGGTCATCGCCCTGAGCAACATTGCCCTGGCTGCTGAGGATCCAGTGCGGACAGACGCACCCAGGAAAAACGTGAGCACGGCCCTCAGGTGGTAGAGGGACTGGGCCGTGCTAGGGTCCTCTCTGTTCCCTCTGGAGGTGTGGGGTGTGGGGATGAAGGTCTGCGGGCACCTCCTGGTCCAGCCCTGAGTTGCAGGCGAAGAGCGGGCATGTGCCTGGGGCCAGAGCCGCTGCTGGGGCAGGGGTGGGGGGGCTTGGCCCACAGGCACACTTGCCAAGGAGTTGTCTGTTCAGAGGCCTGGAGGAAAAGCATGATGCTGCTGAAATTGTCCAGGCTCGAGCTGTCGGCCCAGCCTTTGACAGTAACCTTCCTGTTGGTTCTAGGCTCTGAAGTACATGGACTACATTTTCACAGGCGTCTTCACCTTTGAGATGGTGATCAAGGTGAGATACGTGGTTGCCCTGGTGGCCCAGTGCTCCGCTCATCCTCCCTCATGACTGACACGGGCTGGGGCCTGTAGCCTCTGATGAGGGCATGTGGTGGGTGTGCCCTGGGTGTGTGCTCAGTGAGAGAATGCATGCACACGAGTGTGCTGATGTGTGTTGCAGAGGGCAGAGGCCAATTCGCCAAAGATTCACCACAGTGTTACACCAGCTTTGGGAGAGCACCCCAGTGCCGTTCCTGTCTCCGCCACCCCGCTAACCAAGGGTTACAGGCTTCCGGGAACATGCAAGTGTGGGCTCAGTCCACCCTCAGGATTGTCTCATGATGTCAAGCTGGGAAGAGCGAGGGCCCCAGCACCCAAACATCATGCCGAGTGGGCGCTGAAGACTTTTGTTTCAAAGAGCTGTAGTGCTTCAAGTTAGGTTACAGACTGACCATTTCATTGCGGTCGCTTCTGTCTCTGAGTGCTGACAGGCATTGCTCCTTTATCAGTGTCTGACAAGTGGCC